TTGGATTTTCATTAAATTTAATGAACATTTATAGAGTGAGTGCTCTGTGCCCATCTTTGCATGTCAGTCAGTCCCAAAGTTAGTTCCTGGGCCTGTGGCAGCTGAGCCAGACACAAGCACCAGAATGGCAGGGACTGTCGTAAATTCACATACGTTTCAAGGAAGCTTGGATTGGGAGGAAAAAGTCTACCTCAGAGACTGGGAGAGTCAGGGAAGCTTTGGGGGAGTCTGTTTGGAGTTTGGTCTGCCAAGATGAGTTCGCCAGGCAGTGTGATAGGGAAGAATATTTGAAGGAGGGACAGTCAGAGCAGGTGCGACACACACAGCAAGTGGATGTGTTCAGGAAACGCAGAGGGGCCTCAAGATTGGCTGGATCAGAGAAGGTGGGAGTTGAGGAGGCAGGTAAGATGTGAGACTAGAAACAGAGACAGACCGTGTTTGCATTCTGATTCTCCCCTCCTTGTATCTTAGGCTATAGGTGAAAGTTAGAATTGTGTTCCCTTGGACACCTGTCATTGGATTAGTAATTCAGTTAGAGTGTTTTCAGGTTGAAGAGTAAATAAAAAGGAGGAGAAAGAGAGACAACTTGGAGACACTAAGAGACTGAAATCTACAGATTTGCTGGAACACAGGCACCAATTCTCTGGCCTTCAAGGCTGTCTCATGGTTGCCTATTCTCTTCCACCTCCCTTTGCTCCCAGATCTTCTAAATAGAATATTTTGAGGGAGGTGTCTGGGGGTGTGAGTGAGAGTACAGGTAGATAAGAGGCAGATTTGAAACCCCCAGATTAGCTTCTCACTGTGTTTTTGGTTTGCCCGATTTTGACAGGCAAGCAAAATATAGACAGAAATAGCACTTTGACAGCTTTTTAAAAAATGTTGAATGATAAAAGTTCTAGGCAGAACTAGTCATCTCATTTTTGTTTCCTCGTTTTCAGTTTGTCCACTTCCGAAAAGGGCAGACTCTCTATTGGGATTTCGAGGTATAAAGTTCTGGCGTAAGTGTTGCGATCATGCCAGTGCATACTTAGAAAAAACAGCTCCCATTTTGTTCTGAATGCCAAGAAGGTATCACTTTCTAAGCTACATGTCAGTGTTTGATATTTATTGGATAAAACATCTGTCCTAATTTCTTCAGTTTCTTGGCTCCTGTTGTAATTTTACATGCAGGGGATTTAACCTGATCCTTTCTTTAGCATTAATTTTTCTTCGGCTTGTATTTCAGAGGCCAAACTGAGTCCCTTAGTTAAGTATTCAGGCAACTGTTTAAAATGAGCCCTTCATTATTTATTTATAACATCTATTATTAAGAAAGCTTCAAGAATAAGTAAAAGCAAAAATGTTGGTTTATTAGAATACGAATCTGCATGAACTTGCACAATCCAACTGTGCAGTGAATGCCTGTTTTTAGATTCAGCCATCCTTATGTCATATGCATGGAAAAAGAATGAATAAAAGCAAATCAGATCCCATAGAAAAAGTCCATATTTGTCAGTACTTAAAAAATGTGTATAGGCACAGTGCTGAGAGCCTATGGATGAATATTTTTCTTCCTTGATTTTTTTTCCTTAAAAATAATACTTTCAATTCCAAAGGAGCAATTGCTTATATATTTTTTTCTATTACATTTGATTTTCTTTAAATTTCTATAGTTATTGTAGCAGAAGTAAATAATTAGGGAAAATGGTTTATCTAGAGAGAAGTAAGCATCAGGACCAAGTTCCAGAGAGATCATGGAGAAAAAGCACCTCTTGTATATTCCTGGATACAGCTGGAACCCATTTTATTAAGTGAAGTATCTCAAGAATGGAAAAACCAGCACCACATGTACTCACCAGCAAATTGGTATTAACAGATCAACACCTAAGTGGACATATAGGAGTAACATTTATCGGGTGTTGGGAGGGAGGGAGGGGTATATACAACCACAACGACTAAGATGTGCAATGTTTGGGGGACGGACATGCTTGAAGCTCTTACTCAAGTGGGGGAGGGGGGCATGGGCAATATAAGTAACCTTAACACTTGTACCCCCATAATATGCTAAAATAAAAAAATGACTACCTAGTACAAGGTTACTCATGATGCTTTACTTGGGTCTAGTTGGAGTTGAAGATTAAAAAAAGAAATTTGGGTAAAGGAAGGTGAATCATTTTGAGAATGAACTTCATAGTATTCCTTATTGCTGTTTCAACTCTGTTGTCTTCCCTCTCTCTAAAGTTCTGAACTCTAAATGGAACAGAATGTTTCTTTTGGAAACAACATATGTGAATCTTTATCAACACAGTGCAGTAAACCAGAATCTACAGCATGTATGCTGATTCTGATAGGTATCCCAATATCTGATGATTTCCTAGGTCAGGGAGAAATAGAACAAATAGTGAGCTAAATAGCTCTTATCTTCAGGAAGGACAGCTGATTGTGTAATGCTTCTTGTAGCAATCAGAAAATAAAAGGGATGCAAGGCTTTAATTATATATCCACTGGGTCAGAATTTGTTATTATTTGATCCTGCTATGTTGAAGTTTGCTTTTGTAAGACTTATGAATGATAGCATTTTCAAAGCAAACTGGTAGTGCATTTGAATTTAGATGTCCAGTATGCAGAAGCATTCTCATATTTTTCCATAAATTCCCTGATATCCATTTACTGTGTTTGAGTCTCCTTTTAACCTAACTAATCAGTAAGTTCCAATATTATAGGCGGAAATGCTACTCTAATAATGTGAAAGTAGTAAAACATATTTACTAAGACACACTTGACTTTGGCTGGGCTTACATTAGATCTGTTCAATTGGGGATCATATGTCCCACCCATGACCTTGCTATCACCTGCCAAGTTTGTCACATTCCATAGGAAGTTAAGAACATCGAAAAGGCCATGTGTGTAATCAGTATACACAATAGATTTATCTTTAGAACATAACATCAGAAAGGCCCTGTGTATAATTATTATGCACAATAGATTTATCTTTAGAACATAAACTGATTATTATTTCTAATATTTCTTGGTAAGTAAGCTTTGGCGAAGCATTACAAATTAGTGATGGTTTCAAGGGGAGAAGCCCAGAAAACGATTTATGCAAGCAGTGTTATCAAATTTTTTTTAACTAGAACATTTAGATTGACTTAAAGAAAAAATGTCATATTGTACCAAGTAACAAAAAAAGTCACTTGATCTTTAATTCAAAACTTCTCTCATTATATTCATCTGCAAATCTTTTTGCTACTTGGACAGTAATATTTCCTAGGCCTGTCACTCTCACCTACAATTCCTCAGTTTTTTGTCATGTCAGGGGCCAAGTGACTTGTCTTCCCCCACCCCATTAACTTCTTGTTTCAGTATCTCCACCATCATGCAACTAAATCTCATGTCTGTAGACATGGAATTTTCTGCATCAGATCTTGACTTTTGAGGCCAAATATTTGACTTTTGAGGCCAAATATTTTCAGTGGAAAAATCATGGTCTCTGGAACTAGACTGGGCGGCCTTCGATCCCAGCTCTGCAGTTTGATTGGCTGTGTGACCATGTGCAAGTTATTTAGCCTTTCTGAGCTCTAGTTTTCTCCCTCCATGAGGGAGGCAATACCTTTTTATCTTGTAAGGAAGCTGCAAGGATTAAATGAGGCCACATATGGGAAGTGCTTGGTATCAATAACTAGCAATTTTCTTTTCCTTGACTTGTTCATTGGGCTTTCTGATTACTCTCTATATTAAAACAAAAATTGATTAACTCTTTTTTTCCCCAAAATTCTGTCTCATGAGCCACATGTTTATTTCTAGGCAAGATACACTTGAGTCTATCTACATCAACCTGAGTGTTTTCAATGCTGTGCATATATATCCATTTTTGACTGCAATAATTTTAACCCTTCTTTCCTTTAAAATTCAGGCCAGAATCCTCCTGAGTTACCATTACCTAAAAAAATTTCTTGAATTTGGGTTAACCCTGACCCCCTTAAAAAGTCATGTTTTGAGCTCTTACAATATGTTCTTGAGTTACTTTCTTCCATCTAGCTTCCTCTTGCCTCCTGCCTTTGACATATGCCTCCATTCTGCTGCTAATCATAGTACCTTCTCACTCTGATTTTCCAAATAACTCCTTCTCCCCTGGAGTACACAGAAAGGGGCCTGCATCTGTGCTTCTGCCCAAACCGCTTCAGTGCTAAAGTCTCTCAGTTTGAAGAGGACTCAGGTGAGGACTCAGAAGTCTGTCAGTTTGAGGAGAACTGAAGGTAGGGTTCTAGCTCCAACGTGGGTTTCACAGAGCAGAAATTATCTGTGGGCTTTCCTTGGTCACCCACGTCACTGAAACATTGATTTCCCTAAAAAGCAGCCTTGTAGAGTAAAATGTCTTGTATAGAATAGACAATAGGAAAACCTGACTCTGAGAAAAATGGGCACATTATATAGTAATCTGTGGAGAGCACCATTTTCTTGAAAATAATTGTGTTGAGTTGGCAACAGGCATCTCGGATTTCATTTTTCTTTCTCTATGCTATTTAACTCAGCCCCAGAGGAAAAGATAAACATGTCCCAGGAGGTTCTTCATGCTATAGAAGGAGGGCTGTTAAATAGAGGAAGCATAATACCTGTGAGGCTAGATAGATTTAAAACAATTTCATTAATTTAGATTGTTTCTTCAGAATACTGTCCCTTGCTCATTCTCCATATTCAGATCCAGATAATATCTACCAACTTACAACTCTTGAGGCAGATATTATGCTATTTTTATGTCCATACAATAGTTCCATGATGTAGAAATTACCATCAATTAGTATGTAAGGACATCGAGGCCTAAAAAGATTAAATGGAACTGTGGCCACAAATTATTAAATGATTCCTTCTCTTCAAATCTAGATACTCTTCTTTTTACGGTGCTATTTTGCTTTATTTTAGGTTTCCATTTTCAGCTGGAGAAATGCTCCAAGTGAGTAATTACAGTGGATATAAAAAAAGGAATTCAAATTAGTAATATCATTATCTCTCTCCATTTCTAGTTTGTTCGAAGCAGGTAACTGATGAAGCATCTTCCACTCGAGATTCAAGCCTTACTAACACAGCCGTGCAAAGCAAGTTAGTGTCTTCCTTTCAGCAACACACCAAAAAGGCTCTTAAACAGGTAAGATAGAGGCATTTGTTTTTTTGTCCTTCAGTTCTACCTATTTAATGTGTGTTCTGCTGATCAAGTAAAATAAATAATAACCTAGCCATCAGAAAGCAATACAGATAATCCTGAATTCAGCCACAGCCAGAATATTCAATTCAATTATTTTCATTTATCCTAAAAATTAGGAGAAGCTTCACTAGAAGTTTGATATAAAATAGAAGAGAGAATATGTACCTGGAAAGACATACATAAATTTGTACTAAGATTTATTTGCATGTGTGTGTGATCTATCAGGTCACAATGTAGCTATGAACCCAGTCTGTTGGGTTCAGAAATGCATTGTATATTTTTAAAGTCATGCCTCTCTCTATGGTTTCTTTGTGTTTATCTGATTGTTGGTGAAAAAAAAAATAAATGATAATTTCTTACTGAAATGCATTGTTACAAATAAGAATAATAGTGAGCGTAGCTTCCTCATGTCTAGAATATCCACCAGTGAGTGATGTTTGGTGCTGAATGGCAGTTAGCTTTGCAGTGTCTTTCCAGTGTCCGCATAAACAGTACTGACCTGTGTGGTCTTGCGCTGAGATGGTGGTGGGAAGTGATGGTTATATGGTTGGGCTCTGGTGCTGACATCCCCTCATTTGAATCCTTCCTACTTACTGTGTGATTCTGGACAAGCCACTTCTCCACTCTGAATCTCAAATTCCTTATCTAGAAAACGTGAAAAATAATAATATTTTGCACGTGGGATTGATCTGAGACTCAACTGAGGTGATAGGATCAAAGCACATGGTAGCATGAGTGGCTCATAATAAACACTTACTAAATAAGTGATAGCTACTGCTGCTATACCAGCAAATGCTTAATTGTGCAAAGAAGAAATGGGAGAGAGATTATGGTTAGATGGAGCTGTCGCATGATGGTAACATTGCATCAGTAAATGGAAGGCTCTCATACTTAACCCTGAATTCATAATTTTTCCTTGTTTCACTGCTTTCTTCTTGCATGTTTCATTTTGATTCTTTTTAAAACAAACCCTTTCCAACCACCCCTTGACGACCCTTACCAGGCCTGAGAATAGACATCTGGTGACATTTTTATAACAAGGAGAAGAGAAACTGTTTTTTAAAATAGAGTTATTTTTTTTAAAGTTCCACCAACCACTAAAGCTTCTTAATATTCAGTTTCAATCTTCTAGCCTTAGAACATCTCCATCTACCTTCTCCTCTACATCCAACAAAGAATCGTAGGAAATTTAACATTTTTCTACTTAATTATATCACCTTTCTATTCCATATTAATTATTGAGATTATAGCATTTGTATTCATTGGTATTATCTTTAAGGTAATAACAGTATTTCATCCTACATAGGTCAAGTAATCTTTGGGGAGTTTGCCCTCTGTATTGTTGCTTTGGTGTAATGTTTTAGAGCCACAGAGCAAAACTGAAATAATTGTTGACAATTCCTTTTTAATTGATAAATTAAAAAATGGATTTAGGTTGGGAAACCTGGACAAAGCCTTGTTCAGGCTGCAAAAAACATGTAGGTAATGAATACTAACCAGGATAGAGCAAAAGATACAAAACTGGACACCTGTAGCTGTGGCATTTAAGAAACATAAATGGGATCATAAATGAAACTCATACTTCTGAGGTTCAGTGATTTGGAAAATGTGCACACTATGAAATCTTCCTGTATATAAATGGAAAGATAAAGACTCAAGTCTCTGTATTTTTATGTCTCATTATTTTTTACTTCATTTTGGTTTTGTATTATTTGAACATTTTTTACAATTACTAAAACATGGCACAACTTTAAGTTACTGCTTTTTTGTGTGTATTTTCTTGTGTGTTTGTGGAGCTTGTGTTCGTGGGAAGTGCCACCTGCTTGTTGGAGGTCTAAGCCTTGTTTTAAGAAACCTGTCCTGTAAGTTTCTTAGTGTCCAGAAAGAGTTATTTATTCATTTTCTAAAACTTTCATTTTATAGCCAAGTAGCAAATTAGTTACCAGGAGAATGTGGCTCAATATATAGCAGATATGCTAATGTTTGATTAATAATCAAATTCATATTGGAAATACATTTAGAAGAAAAGCTGTTCTTGCAGAATTTTGCCCAGATTCCTTGTAATTGCTGAATTTCTTAAGACAGCATTTCAACAATTGACTGAACATGCAGCATTTTAAATTGTAGCAACCTCAGCAAATCTGCAGCTTTCTTTTCTTTTGGATAGTTAAATGGCTATGACCATGTGGAATTATTTCTTAGTGTATTTTTTATATATGTGTATATGTGTGAGGCCAATTGCATGTGTTCTGTGTTTGCAAATACATGTTTTGTGTGTATGTATACACGCACAAGTCATAATTATACAAACCTAGGTCCAGCTGAATGACCTTAAAAATAATTACATTAGCTGGTATTTACCTTTTATTTCTTCTGCTCTTCATTTTATATGTACTATACCATTTAATTCTCATGCAAATGATTTGAATTATGTATTCATAAATTCATTTTTTTTTCAAATGAAGTAACTAAGGCCCAAAGAAGGTAGATAACTTGCCCAAGGTCACCCAGTGAGTAAATCTTAGAGATGACATTTGAATCCAGGATCACAGTTTCAGATTCTACCCTCTTCACTAATACTGCCTTTAACCTATGGTATATAATTGGGTAAATTAATAATCATAAGTATAAGTGAAAAGTAATAATTTAAAACAAACTCCCTTGCAAAATAAGCCAGACATAATTTCCAAAGGCTGAAACCTTCCACACTCTGCCCTCACCTAGAGCATGTTGCTACAGAGAGTGGATTCTTTGACTTCACGGCACTATTGATTGCAATGTAATTATAGGCTGGGATATATGGAAGCTGTGATGCCCCTTGGCTGTTGACATAGAATATTTTCATGGCTCCTAAATGTTTGGGTTTCTTTTACTTTCTACTTTCAAAATGTTAGTTAACATCATATGTGGGCATAATTGCATGAATAATATATTGTTATTTCAGTAGGTTTTTTTTTTTTTCCTGAATAAGCATATTTAGAAGCCTCTGGCGAGCAGCAGATTGCTGATTATTACCTTGTTCCTGTCTTCTTTCTACCTTGAGATTTGTCTTCTTTCTACCTTGTTCCTGTCTTCTTTCTACCTTGGTTATCATGATTCTAAAAAGTGTGAAATGATTAGATTTTGAATATTTAAGAAGTATAATTAAGTTTTAACTTTTGGAAATTTTAGACACTGGAAGAAAATGAAAGATCAAAGGATGAGTTCTGTTATGGCAAGTAACACAGTGGTGTTATATATTGTTTCTGTTGATTTGACTTTGTTCATTATTTAGGGTGGTAGAGTTTATTCATAAAGTTACAGATCTTTTTTCTTTATGATATTGCAAAGCAGATATATTCTTGGTATTTTGCGTTAACTTTATGTGTTTGACCAATACTGTGAAATCCCAAAGGTTATATTACATGATAGCAGTTTCTGAACATGGGCATTGACATTTAGTTTACTAGCAACAATACAAGTTGTTGGTTTCTGATGCAGCCAGCTGTTTCCTCTGTGTGTATTTCTCATTATTTAAGTTTTAGCATTTACAGCATGTGATATTTTAAGATTTTCATCAGAAGACTTATTGCATTCAGTGCATTCTTAAGTTACATTGTTGGTATTGTTTATCTATTGAAATAAAGCGGGCATTACTTGCTTAAAATTCCTAGTTAACACAAAGGCCTCTGATTTTTAAGTTTTATTTTTTCATTACAGTAGAAATGAGACCCAATCTGTATTTTTAGAGTTATCTGAGAAGCTTTCTGTCTAAAAAATGAAATGTTTATCTAAAGGTTTTTTTTTTTTCTCTTTTTACAAGAAAGTATTGCAACATGTCTCTAGAGAAAAGCATGCTCAGTCAGCATCTTTTGATTTCTTTCCTTTCACTTAAAGCCAGAATTGAATTGATGTGAGTGTGATATGATCTTTACTTTTCCTAGACTGGTTTAGCTCTATTATGTTTGTTTCCTTTAAAAAAATAGGTGTATTTCTAGATTTAAGTCTGTAAATTTCTTTCATATTGAATAGTACCTCAGAGTATTAAACTTGGTAAGTCCAATTGTTCTCCTTCTTACAATATCAGAGATTTTGAAATTGTACTCTGTGTAGTTCGGGCAGTAGAATGTTATGCGTGTGACCAGAGTGAAGGTGCATCCCTTCATAATAGACTAGATTTACACTCGCCATCTGTTTGTTTATGTAGATCTGGTAGTGCTTCTTTCTGAATTTAAGATGACAAGACTTAAGGCTGATCTGTAAGGTAGTCCATTAGTATTCCAAAGTACAGCTAAGACTTGAGACAGTTGTGCCTTGTTGATATCATCTCCCTAAAATTAATTTAGACTAAAATAGTAAGACTGATTAGATAATATCAATGTCAGAATAAAACTCTGATATAGACTAATCAACAGGGCTACCACTAGCTAATTAAGACTCTGGCATGGAATAGAAAAATCATCACCCCTCCCAAGTTGTCAACAAAAAAGAATATCCCCTCTTAGGGTACAGGGCACACCCTCAACAGCCATCTAAGGTAGCTCTCCTAACCCCATTTTCTGAATATAGTACATGAACTTATATTTTCCAGGCTGTGAAATATCCAAATTTAAATATTATAAGTTAAATTATAGATAACTTCTGTTATATACATATCAATGTAAAATAAGAATTTTGTTAGAATTTTAATAAAAGCTGAAAGCTGAGAACAATATGATATAAGTATACTCCATTTGGAAGAGAGATGCTAGACACAGTCCCTCAGGTCTTACTGAAAAGGTGACCAGATGGTTGACTGACCATCCCCCAACAGATATATAAAAAATAAGATTCATTATATATACATCCCTCCCCAAATATATATATTCCAAACCTTGTATTCTTGTATTTTGAAGGATTATGAGACATGGATAATTCTGAAGGCACAAGGATGACCTTATGTCTAGGCAGAAATAAAGTAAATG